TTGAACCAAAGCTCTGATTGGTTAGGGTTAGGGTTAGGGTTAGGGTTAGGGTTAGGTTAAGGGTTAGGTTTAGGGTTAGGTTAAGGGTTAGGTTTAGGGTTAGGTTTGGGGGGGTTAGGGTAAGGTTTTCGCTTTAATTTTAAATTTACCGCTCACAGCGCGATGTTTTCATCGCGCTGTGATGACATCACGTACGCGCTTTCGTCGAGCGCGCTTTTGTCTACTGCGGTTTTGTGGTGGAACCAAGCTTCCCTGGGGATAGGTGTGTACATCTGGTTAAAAAGGCTGCTAGAAATAGTAAATTCTACTTCATTGTGCCCATGTAATGTAAAACTAAGACTAAACTAAGACTTATGGCAAATTTTAAGACAACTGCAACACTAATGCCCTCTCTTCCGTGAGAAACAACATGGCATCACTTAAGTTCTATTATTTTCAGATATAGAGGAAGGGATGACTGGCAGATGCTTTGGATGATCAGCACCTGACCTGCAAAGTCTGTTTGGCTTCTGAAAGAATCAAAACTGTTTTTTCCCGGCATTTCCGTCATGGTTTGAGAACAGTAATAACTGATACCAATAGTTTATTAGAAAGCAAATGGTTGCTTTCAATGAGGAAATGCTTGCCTAATTATTCACACATCATGCCAATGCTGTCCAACTCAGGTAGAAAAGTAGAGCATAAAGTTTTGCCTTTTTTATTACGATAGTAAAAGTTAATATCAGTATTATTTAAAAAAAAACAGCTTTGGGTAAAACAGCATTTTGATTGCCTAATTTAACTTTATAAAGGATGTAGTAAATCTTATAGTGGGTCTCGGTAAACTGCACAGCTGGAACATTCTCTCACTGCTATGTGGTTTCCAATGATCAAAGTGAAGTTACTTTATATGTCAGACTAAGATTTCATAATGGAAATAAATGCATCATCGGGGGGAGTACAGTTGTCATGAAATAATTACAGTCCTGGGAGATTACAGCCAAGGCTGTACCCCAGGGGTGTGATTATCCCATGATAACCACATCCAGTGAAATTGCCTTATTGCAAAAATAATCTCCATTCACCAGCAAGCTATATTATTCAATAGGAGACTTTGGAAAGTGGAAAGATTACATTTTTAAAAGTCTGAATCGACAAATGGATTAGCATTACAGTCGAGGAATAAGGAAGAAAAAAATCCTATTGCAAATAAGGGTATTATTTCTTTTGGTTTCTTGGTATGGAGCGGTTTTGCTTTTAAAGTACTTTTAGAGAGTTCTCATTAGCTCCTTACAGGCATTTTTTTCAATAGTTTGGGGGCAATCATCCTGAAATCATTCTATCCGAAATATTACCATGGGATCAGTTATCTGTTTGTAGGTGGGATACAAACCTGAATATATAATTTGGTGGTTCTAATATTCATAGAGAACTCCATGCAAGACTAAGCACTGGAATACTGACTGAATCACAGTGGCTGGAAAATTCATTCATTCACACAAAAACTTTCTCTTCACCTAAGATACCTGAAACATTTACCAGAAGACCTTCGATTCGAATCCTGCAAAGTTAATCGTTGCTGAACTCAATAAAATACAGATTAAATACAACACAATATTATTTGACAAACTTGACTGAAATACATTTTAGACACCTACCTGAGCCATCATTGGAAACGGAGCTTGCATTAATTCCAGAAAGGCCAAATAAAGGACATTCCCGGTCTGTGTTAACGTGGCCCCACTTGTGACATTTAATGCATCTCACATTCCTCACCTGCAAATGATTCATATTGACTTAATTTCACATTTCAGTGCAGCATGTTTTACCCCATTATATCCAAATTAAAGCTTTCATACTACAAGCCTAATATCATTTATTGTACGCTACTAAATACATGAAATCCACCTAAAATAGAAGGAAGGCAATGCATAAAACTTGCCTGGATGCCAAACGGCTGGTCTCTAATGTTCATGTCATCTTTAGCATATCTGTTAAATACAAAAAAAAGACACATACATATATTATTTATGGATTACAAAAAATATATATAATTCCTAGTTAGTGGGGATACAAACAAGATAAAATGTATGGCTTCAATTGTTAAAGGTGCAGAAATCACAGCATCAAAATGTTTCTGAATTCTAATTTATTCACATTTATCCAAAAAACATATAGATATAGATTTGGTTCTTCCTGACATCAAGAAAGGCTAAATAAACAGGGAAATCTCCACTTATGGTTCATTTAACACGATTTCTAAATAAGACTCCAAGATTGCTGCTCCTTGGGGAAACTTTAATTAGATGGCAAGAACAACCATTATCTACCCTTTGGAAAATCTGTTCTCACTCTTTTTATTTAGGTTGCCACATTTAGCATGGCAAGGCTATAATGCTTGTGGATTTTTAGCCATCTAAAACCGTGCTCCTTTCATTGTGTTTATTTACTTTCCTACTCTATTCATTATTCTTACTGTTTTAATAGAACACCATTACTTCTTAGTTTTTATTGTTCTATCTTATGCACCTTGTGCCTCTGCTCTTTGCGGTTTATGCTGCTTCAGGTTTAATGCAAATTTAAGTTGCATAAGACTCTGAATACTCTTTGGTTTGGGATGCTGCATTTATCTTTTAAACAGAACACTAATAGGCTGACATTCTGAATAAATATATACACCAGAAAGATATTAGCAAGATGGTTTCCTTGAATTTCCTTGTTCTCTCCATCCTGGGCCGTTTCAGGAGGGAAAGTTTTATAAATATAGCAATAGCACTTAGACTTATATGCTGCTTCACAGTGCTTTACAGTGCTTTCTATAAGCAGTTTTCAGAGTCAGCCTACTGGCCGCAACAATCTGGGTCCTCATTTTACCAACCTCAGAAGGATGGAAGGCTGAGTCAACCTTGAGCTGGTGAGATCTGAACTGCCAAATTGCAGTCAACCGGCAGTCAGCAGAAGTAGCCTGTAGTATTGCACTCTAACCACTGCACCACCTCGGCTCTTATTATGGAACTTTGTTCATACTTTTTGAATGTACTTATTATGTATCTGCTGATGGAGTGAACTACTTGCAAACACCTCTGGCTCTCTCTTGCTATAGACTTCATCTCCATTGAATCTGCTTCAGAAGGCTGAGATGTGTTCTGAGAAAGATTTAGGAACTCCAGACAGGCAGCAAAGAGCAAGAAAAACTATGTAACGTGAAGTCCTTGAGTAAAATGCTAGATATTGTATGAAAGTAATATCTATAAACACAGAATATATACTTTACAACATCAATATTATTCTTGGATAATTTTTGCCTTCCTTCCATTTATATCCTTCCAAGATTTTATTCTAAGACCTGATATGGTAACTCATGAATTCAGCTGATCTATTTCTGTGGGGAAAAAATACAAAAGGTATTGTCTATTTAAAAGGCAGTGCCTCTGTTTATTTTGTGAAATATACAGCTTGAGACAACAAACTTCTTGCTTAAAGAACAAATCCACGAAAACAGCTCTCAGAATACATTAATCAAATTATAAAGCAATATGTCTTACTTTTCACGTGGAGCTACCTTCTGCCATTCAAATTTGTAATCAGTTTCTCCCTCCTGCTAAACAACAATACATAAACTCAAGCTGTTATTTATATACACATTGAGATTTTGAAATATGAGAAAACATGACTAAATTAAACATCAAAATTACCTCTTTGTTTTCTTGTTTGATGATCATGATGAAATGGCAGGGAATAGGACAAGGCAGACCATTAGATGAGACATATAGTAGGCAACCGGGATATCAAAAACATTCAGATCATGCAATTCACAGACCTCTGAAAAACACCTTATTTCATAAAGTTAATCTACTGAAATTTAGGTTTTATTTTTTAAATTATGCATAACCAAATGTGCAAGTTATAGATTTATAATAAAGACTGCAGTTTTATGTAATCATACTCAAGAAATTCACCACATGTAGACTTACTCTTCAGTAATCTGATACTTATTTCAGGATTTTTTTTCCACAAAATCAAAAATACTATATAAGAAGAAGGATATTTAACCCCCTATTACATGACCAATCTGCAAGGATTCAAGTTTGAACCAGAAGAAGCATTTCGGCTCTTTGCCTAAAATGATTCAAAGACTAGAATCTTCTAGAATATTTGACAAGAACACAGGATCCTCTACAACTTCCTACATAGCATTTATAGCAGGGGTGTCAAACTCAACCCCTAGGGGTTGGATGCATCACACACTGGCCACGTTCAGGCCCTTTTTAGCGAAGGGGGGGGGAAGAGTTGCCATACATCACGTGACGATGTGTCGTCGTGAGTTTAACTCCCCTGATCTATAGCCTTTGAGGGGGGGGCATATGGAAGATTAAAAATTTCCTATCTTGGTGTAAGGAGTCTTTCTTAGAGGCTCATACTCTGATTAAAGACTTTGACAACATCTGCATGATGTTTAACAATAAAATGGATAATAAGTCATATTTGGGTCCCATGTATGCCTGCTATCACTTGTCCAACAGCGTTTGTCAGTAGGCTGTTAACCACTCCTAGCAAATGAATGCCTCATTTGAATACAAATTTGTACACTACTTCCAACTATGGCAAATTGCAGAATGTAGTATTACCGCATTTTGTGGCAGACTGTTCCTAATTTTAAATCCTGTGGCTAGAAGTCACTTTACTGCAGCTGCTTTTGAGAGGACATAGTTTACACATGGAAGATTAGCAAGGGTGCAAGAGTGAATATGAGCTGGTTGTTGATTAGAGGATCAATTGTAAGTTCATAAATTTGCTTTCGGTTCTAGAAGTGATAAGATGCTCTGAACATAACAATATTTTGATTCAGTTTACAAGAAGTAAGCAAAATAGGATATGAAATCATGTCCACTATAACACAGGATCCCACTTCTGAAATCAACAATTGTGGGAATCACTACAAATTTTTCCTTTTGCTAATACTGTTGATGAAGTTTCTGGTCTCTCTGAAAATCTGCAATATATCTATTATAAAGAAACTTGTACCAAGTCAAATAATTGATCTACTTAATGGAATTGTGCTATTCCACACTCTTCAACTGACACCATCCGGATCAGTGGTGAGTGGGTTTCAATTTATTTTACTACTGGTACACTCATACGTATGTGCAAAAGCATCTGGGCAGGCGGGCAGAGCCTCCCGCTGCCGCCACTACTGGTTCGCCCGATCCAGGATGAACCGGCAGAAACCCACCTCTGATCCGAATGTGTTAGATTTCAATTCCAAAAAGCCCTGTCCAGAATGGAAATTGAAGCTCAACATATCTGGATTACATAAGATGGCATCAAACGTTCACAGGTGAAAGACATTTGGTCTTCCCCAACTGCACCAGCTCTCCTGTGTTTGAGAGAGTGGTCTTTCTCACCCTTATCTGGGTACTCCCAGAACTGAAATTGCCTGCTAGGAAAATATTTACTCCTCCAGGTGTTAACCGTAACTCTCTAGTACTTTTCAGTTATAATTTAAAAAAAGGTGGGGGGAGATAATGATGAGCAGATATATGAGAAAGAATCTGCAGGAAACATTTGTAACAATTAAAACAAGATGATCAAGAACACTTTGATGAATGTTATAGTTAGGATACAATTGTTAGTAAACATTGTGTTAGTTACTAAACAACTAAAATTACCTTTCTTTGCTCCAGGTGGCGCTTCATACATAAAATTTAGACCATTCTTGACACGTTCATCTCCCATAAGCAATCTTTATAAACCAATAATAAAATTGTTATATCACAAGATATATACATTGACTCAAAATATATTTTAAAATAAGGGTAGCATGTATCGACAATAAGATGTAGCTCATTTTTTACTAGTAGAAACTTTAAATATCTGCAGTACATAATAATTCTAGAGTAAGCAATAATTACTTTTCAAACCCTGGAAGTTCAGCTCCAGATGTAGTCCTAGGCTTGGCTTAACTTTTATCCCAAACATTTTAGTTTGTCAAGCACATTTCTACTACACCAATGGGGCTGAGATTATTTTTCAAAAAAGAATCCACACTGATATTCTCTGGTCTTTCAGTCTGAGCAGCACATGTGATCCAAGACTAAATCCTTAGGAAGTGAGGCAAAGAAAGATTTGCAGACTGTAGAAAGTAGAAATTGCTTCATAGCACTGCTTCAGACACACTTACTCTGTTGTGGTACCTATTCTATGGAAAAGCATCTTCCATGGGATATGGATGGCCCTCATCTTACTGGCCTTCCATAAAGCTTTAAAGACCTAGCTTTTACCTTTAGCTCTGGAGCTGGGATGTCATATGAATCCAGCTGTTTTTTTTGGCCGGCTATTGATTGCATGATGAAATGGATTGTTTTGAATCTTGGGTATATTATATGTGTTGGTTATTATTATTTTCAACCATATTGGTTGTTATTTTGGAGTTTTTATTGTTTGTCACCCAGAGTTCCATTTTTGAGCTGGAGGGCTATATATACATTGATTAGATAAATAGCATCTTTCTCAGAGATATTTACAGCAAATAAAATATTTCAATCATGTACTGAACCGTTATAAAACAAACATGTGTAATAAAGACAACAACTAACAGAGTCACACATTTAAAGGGTTATACTTTGATTGCAGGTTTTTATCACCCAAGTGTAAAAATAATGAGCCACATCTCACCTGTTATCATAAGATTCTTGCTCTTTAAGATATTGCTGCATTAATTCTTCTTGTTTCTTTCTGTCATAAGATATTTTCTGTTCTGCCATCCATACCTAGTTAGAACAAAGTGATTTTGCAAAAAATGTTTTTGGCATTCCTGCAAAAATTCCTCCTTTTTCTTTTTTGAATTTCATATTGCATCCAGACTGCTTTAAAATTCTGTAATTTTAATCATTACTGAAAAAAATTATCCAGGTGTTCTTGAAAGACTCCAGTCAGAAATGATATATTTAATATAGAAGTTAGCTTTCTTACTAGAAACTGAAGATGAACTCCAGGTCGCTATGCTCCATGGTACTATCATCACTATGATCCATGGAACATTTCAGAATACTTTGCCTCTTATGGATACTAACACCTCTGTAAAGGTCAAGAGATAATTTGATAGAAGCAAAACGTATGTTCAATGACAATCTATACAATTGAGTCTCTATGACCCTCCTTTGCTTGAGGATTGGTAAAAAAACACCCCTAAAGGTAGCTGAACCAACGGATTTGCTCATCAACCTCTTGGAAGAAAAAGACACTTGAAATGAAACGAACTAATAACTGATTTAAATAGGCAATTAACATGCTTAAAAAAACAGGATTATACAATTCTACAGATTCTGATGAATAAATCAATGGAAACAGCCTTGATACTAACGCTGTCTCTATAAATGACATTTATATTATTATTTACATACTTAAGTAGATTACTAATAATATAACTTATTATTATTAATTATTATTTATATTATTAGTAATCTATTTAAATATGTAAATAATTGAGAACAATTTGAGATTAAATGTGAAGTACTCTTTTTACAATCCAGGTTAAATTACAGGAGAAACTTCTGTTATCGGAAAAATCACTAGGAATGGTCTAATACATTTTGCTGTTTTGGTTGATAGACAAGGTCCCTCTCCTTTTTTCACTGGAAATTTGACTTCGGAAGTGTCATGCTATATCAACATCTGCTGATTGCTTATTTGAGAACAAAAAGCACAGCTTCACTGAGTTCAGTGAGACCCATTTCTAGAAAAAGATTGTTCCCTAAAAAACTGCATTAATATAAATACTAAATAACAAACCTGGCAATTATACTTAGTTTACAGTTTAGTATGTCTTTTTTTTGTGCCTTTGAGTCAAGTTTTTTTTACTTTTGGCAACTGACTTGACTATGGCCCCTGTGGGTTTTTTGGCAGCGTTTTCTGAAATGATTTGCATCTCCCTGCTTCTTAGGAATGAGAATGTGTGACCGGCCCAATGTTACCCAGCTGGCTTTGACCCTCAGGAAGAGCTAAAACTCATGGTCTCCCACTTTCTAACCTGATGCCTTAACTCAGGAGTCAGCAACCCGCGGCTCTGGAGCCGCATGTGGCTCTTTCATCCCTCTGCTACTGCTCCCTGTTGCTGGTTGGATCCACAATTGATAGGGCTTTCGATTAGGACAGGTAGAGGAAAAAGGACACCGTGCTAGGAGGAGACTCTATGGTGGGGGAACCAGACTTTCAGTTGGCTCTAGAATTGAACGGGGGGCTTCCAGTTAGGACCGGAAGTGTTTAAGGTTGCCAACCTCTGCCTTAACTACTTCACCAAACTGGCACTATACTACCCACAATAGCAATAGCAGTTAGACTTATATACCGCTTTATAGGACTTTCAGCCCTCTCTAAGCGGTTTACAGAGTCAGCATATCGCCCCCACAGTCTGGGTCCTCATTTCACCCACCTTGGAAGGATGGAAGGCTGAGTCAACCTTGAACCGGTGAGATTAGAACCGCTGAACTGCAGATAACAGTCAGCTGAAGTGGTCTGCAGTACTGCATCCTAACCACTGCACCACCTCGTATATGACATATTGTCATATACGTCCAGAAACATGGATTGCTATATCATATATAATGAGAATACAGTCTAAGCACCAGTCCACATTACATTTTCTAGATATCTTTGTGGATTGCACACATACACCTTCAAACCCAACTTCAGGAGAGTTATTCACAGCGTCAGTATAAATGTATATTCTCTACAATTTATTTATTTATAAATAA